TGATGGTTGTATATTTACGGTTTTAGATGGTTGTATATTTACTGTTTTTGTGGTGGTTTTGGTAGTGTCCCTAGGAGAGTCTGGGCTGGCAGTAAGGCTGGGGGCTGGGTCTGGGTCGGCACAGGGGCTGGGTCTGGGTCGGCACTGGGGCTGGGGGCTGGGGCTGGGTCTGGGTCAACGGCTGGGCCTGGGCCAGCAGCTGGGCCTGGGCCAGCACCAGCACTGTGGGTATTAGTGCTATGACTGGGGGAGCCTGGGCCAGCACCAGCACTGTGGGTATTAGTGCTATGACTGGGGGAGCCTGGGCCAGCACCAGCACTGTGGGTATTAGTGCTATGACTGGGGGATGGGTCTGGCTTAGCACCATGTGGGTGACTAGATAGTTTCAAGTCATCTGTTGTGGTATGGACATTCTGCATTTTTTGATACACTATCTCTTGCTCCCATGTTTTATATATTTTTGGTAGACTATCCAAGAGGTCATCCTTGTTTTCTTGATTATTTTTATCATTTATTACTCTCCTTAGTACCTTTCTGATACCTGCCCAAAGTTCTACATCTTTATTGCACAACCAGAAGCACCTTGCTAGTTCGAGGTCATTTTTTGAGGCTGTATTTAGTCTAGTACAAGAGATATGGTGTTTGGAAGAGCATAGGTTGCATGTGATTCTGGATTTCCTTCCAAGGATTTTTTTACATGTCCCACAGATATGCTGTGCTGACATCCTGTCTGTATCCTACTACACTCTGTATGCCACGGAAGAAAACTGATTTCCACTTTACCTTTCTCTTGCTGGTGCCAGTAATATGCAAGATGTATTTATACGAACCAAGTTTGCAGTATGTGGGTGGTGGTGTAGAGTGGGTGGTGGGTGTAGGGTGGGTGTGAGCTGGGCAGGACTTGCCCACACTGCCACACTTCACTATTATTTTTTTTGTTTACTATTATTATTATTATTATTATTATTATTCTTTAAATTCCTTTTATGTAGTGCTGTACACTGTTTATCTCAAGGATATACACTGTATTCTTTCAAAATACACTTTTCACTGCTCTATACTGGGATCATTGTTTTATTATTTACACAGCAGCTAGGCTTACGCTAACTTTCCCCTACACTTCTAAGGAAAAGATTATTTCCTGTTTAGTAGAGGTAACGGCTGTATGCTCAATTTATGTATGCTGTGATTCCCTGCACCTCAATGCTACCACCACTCGTTTCATATCTTATGACTATAGTAGTTACTTATCCGTTATTAACACTTCACTGGACCTCTGGCAATAGTTCGCTAGTGCCAGTCGCTTGGAGGTACTGCCATCCAGTAGGTGGTTACCTGGAGGTTACCTGGAGGTTATTCCGGGGATCAACGCCCCCGCGGCCCGGTCCATGACCAGGCCTCCCGATGGATCAGGGCCTGATCAACTAGGCTGTTACTGCTGGCCGCACGCAGTCCGACGTACGAGCCACAGCCCGGCTGATCCGGCACCGACTTTAGGTATCTGTCCAGCTCTCTCTTGAAGGCAGCCAGGGGTTTATTGGCAATTCCCCTAATGCTTGATGGGAGGCTGTTGAACAGTTTTGGGCCCCGGACACTTATGGTGTTTTCTCTTAGTGTACCAATGGCGCCCCTACTTTTTATTGGCGGCATTTTGCATCGCCTGCCCAGTCTTTTACTTTCGTAGGGAGTGATTTCTGTGTGCAGATTTGGGACCATTCCTTCCAAGATTTTCCAAGTGCAGATTATGATATATCTCTCCCTCCTGCGTTCCAACGAGTACAAGTCAAGTGCTTCCAAGCGTAGACAACATCTATCCAGGGAGGTACTGCCATCCAGTAGGTGGTAGACAACATCGATCCAGGGAGGTACTGCCATCCAGTTGGTGGTAGACAACAACTATCCAGGGAGGTACTGCCATCCAGTAGGTGGTAGACAACAACTATCCAGGGAGGTACTGCCATCCAGTAGGTGGTAGACACCATCTATCCAGGGAGGTACTGCCATCCAGTAGGTGGTAGACAACAATATCCAGGGAGGTACTGCCATCCAGTAGGTGGTAGACAACAATATCCAGGGAGGTACTGCCATCCAGTAGGTGGTAGACAACATCTATCCAGGGAGGTACTGCCATCCAGTAGGTGGTAGACAACATCTATCCAGGGAGGTACTGCCATCCAGTTGGTGGTAGACAACAATATCCAGGGAGGTACTGCCATCCAGTAGGTGGTAGACAACAACCATCCATGGAGGTACTGCCATCCAGTAGGTGGTAGACAACAACCATCCATGGAGGTACTGCCATCCAGTAGGTGGTAGACAACATCTATCCAGGGAGGTACTGCCATCCAGTTGGTGGTAGACAACAATATCCAGGGAGGTACTGCCATCCAGTAGGTGGTAGACAACAACCATCCATGGAGGTACTGCCATCCAGTAGGTGGTAGACAACAACCATCCATGGAGGTACTGCCATCCAGTAGGTGGTAGACAACAACCATCCATGGAGGTACTGCCATCCAGTAGGTGGTAGACAACAACCATCCATGGAGGTACTGCCATCCAGTAGGTGGTAGACAACAACTATCCATGGAGGTACTGCCATCCAGTAGGTGGTAGACAACACCCATCCATGGAGGTACTGCCATCCAGTAGGTGGTAGACAACAATATCCAGGGAGGTACTGCCATCCAGTAGGTGGTAGACAACAACCATCCATGGAGGTACTGCCATCCAGTGGGTGGTAGACAACAATATCCAGGGAGGTACTGCCATCCAGTAGGTGGTAGACAACAACCATCCATGGAGGTACTGCCATCCAGTAGGTGGTAGACAACAATATCCAGGGAGGTACTGCCATCCAGTAGGTGGTAGACAACAACCATCCATGGAGGTACTGCCATCCAGTAGGTGGTAGACAACAATATCCAGGGAGGTACTGCCATCCAGTAGGTGGTAGACAACAACCATCCATGGAGGTACTGCCATCCAGTAGGTGGTAGACAACAATATCCAGGGAGGTACTGCCATCCAGTAGGTGGTAGACAACAACCATCCATGGAGGTACTGCCATCCAGTAGGTGGTAGACAACAACTATCCATGGAGGTACTGCCATCCAGTAGGTGGTAGACAACAACCATCCATGGAGGTACTGCCATCCAGTAGGTGGTAGACAACAATATCCAGGGAGGTACTGCCATCCAGTAGGTGGTAGACAACAACCATCCATGGAGGTACTGCCATCCAGTAGGTGGTAGACAACACCCATCCATGGAGGTACTGCCATCCAGTAGGTGGTAGACAACAACCATCCATGGAGGTACTGCCATCCAGTAGGTGGTAGACAACAACCATCCATGGAGTACTGCCATCCAGTAGGTGGTAGACAACAACCATCCATGGAGGTACTGCCATCCAGTAGGTGGTAGACAACACCCATCCATGGAGGTACTGCCATCCAGTAGGTGGTAGACAACAACCATCCATGGAGGTACTGCCATCCAGTAGGTGGTAGACAACACCCATCCATGGAGGTACTGCCATCCAGTAGGTGGTAGACAACAACCATCCATGGAGGTACTGCCATCCAGTAGGTGGTAGACAACAACCATCCATGGAGGTACTGCCATCCAGTAGGTGGTAGACAACACCCATCCATGGAGGTACTGCCATCCAGTAGGTGGTAGACAACACCCATCCATGGAGGTACTGCCATCCAGTAGGTGGTAGACAACAACTATCCATGGAGGTACTGCCATCCAGTAGGTGGTAGACAACACCCATCCATGGAGGTACTGCCATCCAGTAGGTGGTAGACAACACCCATCCATGGAGGTACTGCCATCCAGTAGGTGGTAGACAACAACTATCCAGAGATGTACTACCGTCAGTTGAGTACAAAATGAAAGCCTTTTTTTCACACTTTAATATAACTGATATCAGATCAATCTTACAAACTTCTACTTGTATTCAGCTTACACATGCCTTACTTTCCCTATGTGCTTCTCAGTAGGTCTTATTCCTGTAATATTTCCTTTCCAACCTAGGAGGTCCTGCTTGAGACCTGACCGTGCGGAAGATAATCCTCACAACCATTAACAGATAACACTAGCAGATAAGAGGCAACGCGGGTTGAAGTTCTCTACTACTGACAATCTCGGGAGTGACCTTGCTTTGTCTAGGACACAACTATTAACACTGAGAGTTTTTAATTACTGCTTTTATATTCATGGGGAAACTCTAAACCCATAAGAGTAATTCAGTGTTTGAGAATGGAAGGTAATTTAGCTTGAATGAAGGAAGGGGAAGGGAGCTACAAGGTGCTTCCTTTAAGGATAACGGCTTTTAAGATGCTCTTACTAAGACCTAGAGCGTGTCATTATGGTAAACACCGTGTTCTGTGATTTTTCCTAACGAATAATTTAACAATAAGTAAAAGACACTTATGAGGAGAGGTCGTCATAGGGTTCATTTTAAAAGCATTCCGGATCCCCATCCCGCCATATTGTTACCTGCACACATACATGCGATAAGAGATGTGTTAGCGTGTCGGCTTATTGCGTCACTCTACGTTCGGTCGGCCTCAGTCTGGCACAGTCGTTCTGGGGTCTCCATGGTCAGCGTTTTGCCGTTCATTGCCTCTCCACGTTTTGTTCCACCTCTTGGATCATTCCTGGCTTATTATTCTAAGTGGTATTTTAGCGTAACACCCGAAATGCTCTCTGCTTACATTAATTAATAGTGGAAGGTTTATGATACGAAATCTTGAAGTGGAGGTGATCCTGATACGTGTATTATAATTGGATAGCTTGGGTTGGTAGTGCATCTACACGAGTGACCTACGATGTGGGCCTCTGAATATTGCGATTTACTGACATACTCTGTGGTGAGTTTCTGTATTTAACGGATTTGTTTTATTTTTTGTAATTAGCGTTTATGCGATAATTTTATCTAACGCTGTCCTAAACCAGTCGATTAATTAGATGTTTTTCTTTCGACACAGTCGAATGAATGGGACGCGGACGAGCTGCTGCGATCGGTTCTTAACGGCAGTGACATGTCATCTGGACTGGACAACCCCAGCCTGGGTGGTCTTAGCTCCCTGGAGTCCTCGGCGACCACACTGGCGACTCCCACGCTGGAAGCTCCGGATGATATGGACTCCCTAGAGAACTTGGTCGGACTCCCTTTCCACGCTGTCCTCGACTCCGGAGCCTCTGACTCCGGCATGTCCAGTGATTCTTCCCTTGATCAACAGGTAAGGCATTAGCACATAACAGTGAGAAACCACTTGAACAAAAAACTGAAACACAGGTAAGAGATCTATATATTTCGTCCTCAGAGATTATTCAGGCTGATAAATACAGTTCTTTCATACCTGTTCCGTTTTACTGTAAGTGGTTTATCACTATTTCACGATCAGAGTTTATATCACTTAATGTCAGCATATCAAGTGTTTTATCACAAGATTTTTAGTTCGTGTGTTTAATATTAGCAATGCCTAATGGAAGACTAATAATTTATCGTTATATTTTATAGAAACCATAAAACTCCTTTGCTGTGGGTATATTTCCAGGTGAAATATGTACCATAGTTACCTTATCTAAGAAGATAAATATTTTTTGTTCCTCAGTGTAAAACTGGAAACGTATTGAACCTCAAAACCTCTACTGGGCAGCCTTTAATGCGTGTTGCATCATCTTGCACAGTTGTCGCCGTTGTCTGGGTACTCCGTGTCGTCTCCTGGTCCCCTGGGTGAGATGAATCTGGGTATGGAGTTATCCTCGCCGGAGCAGGGTCTGGACACCACCTCTGATGTGTCGTCCAATAGTGACCTGGGTTCACTGGGCTCTCTGGGCTCCACCTCCCCTCACAGCACAACCTTCATGGCATCTCCATACAGCCCTGAAACCATCCTGGGTATCGACGACTTCATTCATACTGATTCAGGTAAGATTTTTATGGGAAATGAAACATCAGATGTTAATTTTACTATCAAGGTAAATACTTCATCATATTCATTACTAGTTGTCAGCTGTTTAATAAATAGATAATTCAGATTGAAGACGATTCACGAACCGGTGGCTTTATCAATTCTGTACAGAGGTTAATGGAAGGTGTTGAAACTGAACACAGTAGAAGAGAAGGTAATCAGTTTCTAAGCCTTCATGGTGTTCATCACTGTAGTCCTGATAAAGCCACTTGTTGGCGAAACCTCTTCGGAATAGATACCCAGATGTTTCTCATGTCTTATTCATCAATTGGTGGGTATTGTATTCCATTACTGCTACCAAGATAATTCGTACCTCAGTGTTTTTTTCCTCTTTGGGATTGTATAGCATCTGCCGTTTATTAAGTACAGTTCTTTGAAATAATTGTTCTGGGAGTACTAAGGAGGCAAATGTATACTGAGTGACAGCATGTCAGTGAACGGAGGGTCGAGCTTTCAGAATATCTTGTTCTAAATGACCTACGCGCGTTTACTGCATATGAATAAACAAAATAATGAGTACCGAGGTTTAAAAAGACTATTGAAATTGAAGAGATTAAAATTGACCTTGGGTGTATGTTTACTGTAACTGAGTTTGGGCGGGCTTTCCGTCTTTTTCCCGGGCTGACTAGTCTCAACATCCCGATGACTGTCCTATCCACTCGTATTTTTTTTTTTTACACAGTTTTACACAGGGTCTCTCTCTCTCTCTCTCTCTGTTCTACACTGAAACTGTGCACACGTTATACATAAAATCATCAAGTGTTAATATTTGTGGAGATATATGTTTTGAATGTTTTTTTTTCTCGAGGATGTGTCGAACATGATTAGAATTTCATGTGTATAAATAACAAAAAGGCACAATACCGTGACTGGAACGATACACAAATAACCCGCACATAAATAAATAACAAAAAGGCACAATACCGTGACTGGAACGATACACAAATAACCCGCACATAAAAGACAGAAGCTTACGACGACGTTTCGGTCCGACTTGGACCATTGACAAAGTCACACTAACAGAGGAGGAGCAGTACTACTTCCTCTTCTTCTTCTACTACATCTACTGATGAAATTAGACACATGTGCGGCGTCTGGTTGTCTTTGTTGTGGACGTTTCGCCATCCAGTGGCTGGCTGGATGGCGAAACGTCTACGGTGGGGATGCCCGGGTGTTGTGCATGTGTCATTTCATCCTGTCGGTATTATTTACAATTCTTGTACTACTACCACCACTACTACTACCACTACTACTACCTCCACCTCTTCCTGCCTATATATAGCCGTCCTGCTCCTCCTCTGTTAGTGTGACTTTGTCAATGGTCCAAGTCGGACCGAAACGTCGTCGTAAGCTTCTGTCTTTTATGTGCGGGTTATTTGTGTAACCCGCACATAAAAGACAGAAGCTTACGACGACGTTTCGGTCCGACTTGGACCATTGACAAAGTCAATGGTGTGTGTTTCATGTGTATGAATGGTTGAGAGTATGGCGAGGTGTGGCAGCCGTGAGGTGCAGGCGGTATGATGACATCACCAGATACAAGGGGAAATACGTACCATACTCTGTCTGGAATTTCTATTTACATAGGAAAGACAGAGTTGAAGCCGTCTACCGAGGACTAGCTACACTGTGCTTACCTCTTCTACATACAAAATATCCTATCTACATAATTGCAGGCTTTTTTTTCCTTGTATGGCCTAAACAAACCTATCGTTAGAACACTGATGTACCTTGGAAAACAAATATTATATTAGAATGTGGGTAATACTGCAAAAATATCTTATATCCAACCACACTTTTGATTACATATTTTATACCCTTCTTATGATGTGATATTTTTGACTATGGACTGGTAGGCCAGCGAAAACCCTCCTTCAAATGACCAAAGCTCCAGCAAGTGGGTTATCATGTGACTGAAACCCACACCAGAATAAATTTTCCCACTTCCACTACATCTCCTCCTGAAGTTTGTTGGTTCTCGGTGTGTTTATAAATGGTGTGTAAGTATTTGTGTGGTGTGGAGAGGGGGGGGGGAAGAATTAAAGGATTTCATTTAACTTGGATAACCCAGGTTAACCAGGAAAGCCACCGTGTATGGAGTATTTTCATTGGGGCTCCTTGATTCTCTTCCCCAGGATGTGACTAGCAATTGTCAGATACCCAGGTACCTACTTATTGTTAGTTGAGCAGAGGAACCACGTGTAAGGAAACATGCCCAACGTTTTCGAACCTGGGTTCTTCAAATGTGAGCCGAAGAGGCTCCCAGTATTAGATGGTGTAGTAGTGTTGTGGTATATGTTTGGAAGTGGGTGTTGTGGCAGTATTGTGGTGTGTGGGTGTATGTAGTGTGGCAGTATTGTGGTGTGTGGGGGTATGTAATGTGGCAGTGTTGTGTGTGGTTGGGTATGTAGTGTGACAGTATTGTGGTGTGTGGGGGTATGTAGTGTGGCAGTGTTGTGGTGTGTGGGGGTATGTAGTGTGGTAGTGTTGTGTGTGTGTGGGGTATGTAGTGTGGTAGTGTTGTGGTGTGTAGGGGGTATATAGTGTGGCAGTGTTGTGGTGTGTTGGGGTATGTAGTGTGGCAGTATTGTGGTGTGTGTGGGGGTATATAGTGTGGCAGTGTTGTGGTGTGTGGGGGTATGTATGTGGCAGTGTTGTGGTGTGTGGAGGGTATGTAGTGTGGCAGTGTTGTTTGGGGTGGGGGGTATGTAGTGTGGCAGTGTTGTGCTGTGTGGGGGGTATGTTGTGTGGCAGTGTTGTGGTGTGTGGGGGGTATGTTGTGTGGCAGTGTTGTGGTGTATGGGGGTATGTAGTGTGGCAGTGTTGGTTTGTGTGGGGGGTATGTAGTGTGGCAGTATTGTGGTGTGGGGGGGTATATAGTGTGGCAGTGTTGTGGTGTGTTGGGGTATGTAGTGTGCAAGTGTTGTGGTGTGTGGGGGTATATAGTGTGGCAGTGTTGTGTGTGGGGGTATGTAGTGTGGCAGTGTTGTGGTGTGTGGGGGGTATGTAGTGTGGCAGTTGTGGTGTGTGGGGGTATGTTTGTGTGCAGTGTTGTGGTGTATGGGGGGTATGTAGTGTGGCAGTGTTGGTTTGTGTGGGGGGTATGTGTGGCAGTATTGTGGTGTGTGGGGGTATGTAGTGTGGCAGTGTTGTGGTGTGTGGGGGTATGTGTGTGTGGCAGTGTTGTAGTGTGTGGAAGGGGGGAACTATGTAGTGTGGCAGTGTTGTAGTGTGTGGAAGGGGGGAACTATGTAGTGTGGCAGTGTTGTGGTGTGTGGAAGGGGGAACTATGTAGTGTGGCAGTGTTGTGGTGTGTGGGGGTATATAGTGTGGCAGTGTTGTTGTGTGTGGGGGGTATGTAGTGTGGCAGTGTTGTGGTGTGTGGGTGGTATGTAGTGTGGCAGTGTTGTGGTGTGTGGGGGGTATGTAGTGTGGCAGTTGTGGTGTGTGGGGGGTATGTTGTGTGGCAGTGTTGTGGTGTATGGGGGGTATGTAGTGTGGCAGTGTTGGTTTGTGTGGGGGGTATGTGTGGCAGTATTGTGGTGTGTGGGGGTATGTAGTGTGGCAGTGTTGTGGTGTGTGGGGGTATGTAGTGTGGCAGTGTTGTAGTGTGTGGAAGGGGGGAACTATGTAGTGTGGCAGTGTTGTGGTGTGTGGAAGGGGGGGACTATGTAGTGTTGTGGTGTGTGGAAGGGGGGACTATGTAGTGTGGCAGTGTTGTGGTGTGTGGAAGGGGGGGACTATGTAGTGTGGCAGTGTTGTGGTGGTTGTGGGAGTATGACCACCTGACTATCACATGAGGCAGGCTGCTGGCGTCAATACAAGGACATTAGTGCTCTACTAGAGTAGTCCTCGGGTGCACACCAACCCATTCTCATTTTACCACGTCAGTTATTTGACGTGGTCCTCAGCGTCAGTTTCTCAAAGCTTCTATTTTTCCTCGTGCTGTTTACCAAATCAGAATTTAGGTTGAAGTTTGTGTAGGTTAGTTTACATGATACTATTAAAGTGTTTACTTAGTCACAAGCAAATTTAAAACAGGCATAGATGAGTTTTACAACGAGGGAGCCCGAGGAAAAATAGGAGCATGCATAAGCATAATCATAGGGGAGCGCTAAACCCGTAGGATTATACAGCGCATGTGGGTGGGATGGAAGGTATTCAGACTCAATTCAGGGAACCGGAGCACAGATCCAATTCCCTGGATCAAGAGCCCCTCACCAGCGTCAAGGAACCTCCCTTGAGGGGAGGAAAAATAGGAAACGTTGACTTTTGAACGTTGTTGTGTGAGAACGGGCTGGCACCCCCATCGTACACTCACCACCTCAGGCTGACACATCACTGCCTCTTGTATTTACCTGGAGGCCATTCCGGGGATCAACGCCCCCGCGGCCCGGTCCATGACCAGGCCTCCTGGTGCATCAGGGCCTGATCAACGAGGCTGTTACTGCTGGCCGCACGTAATCCAACGTACGAACCACAGCCCGGGTGATCTGGCACTGTCTTTAGGTATTTGTCCAGCTCCCTCTCGAAGACAACCAGAGGTCTATTGGTAATTCCCCTTATGGCTGGTGGGAGGCTGTTGAACAGTCTTGGGCCCCGGACACTTATGCAGTACATCTTGTGTAACAGTAGGACAAGGAATGAAACAGGTTTATGGACATGTATAACACAGAAGCAGTATGAATTGGATCGAACCTGATTATCTCTGATTCCCTTAGATATTGTATGACCCTTACTGGTTTAGCCTGTCTCCTCACCCCTCACGAATGTAATAATGTAAAACACTAACATTGGTACAATGTGCTGCATGGTTCCGAGTTTTACTATAAAAAAAATTACAAAAAATGTAATTGTGACCAGTCAAAAATATATTCATGCAGTCTGGAACATTGTTTCTTTTTTCATTGTTACTTCTCCCCTCAAGGGAGGTTCCTTGACGCTGGTGAGGGGCTCTTGATCTTGGGAATTGGATCTGTGCTCCAGTTTCCTGAATTAGGTTTAAATGCCTTCCGTCCCCCCACAGGCGCTGTATAATCCCTACGGGTTTAGCGCTCCTCCACAATAATAATAATAATCAGTGTTAACTCTACAGTATGTAATGGTGTCATGTATTTTACATGTATATAGGTTCTTATTATTTGTACCATGTGTCCAGGATTCTCGTCGCCAGTGCCACAGGTAGTGCCTGACCCTGTATGCCCCCCAACTGCCAGCGTGGCGGCACCCATCGTCACCTCCACGCCCACTTTCATCACCAGACCCATCTTCAGTGCTAAGGAAACCTCCGTGTCGATGCCCACTACGGTGTCTGTGGTGGCTTCCTCCGTGTCGACGCCGGTGACTACGGTGAGTCCTCCGGTACTGAAGACAGTAACGGTGACGGCACCAGCCAGTACTGTGAGCACGGTGGGGGGCCAGACCATCGTAGTGACGCAGGCTAGCAAGGGCACTCCCAGCACCCACCTGGTGCGCAGCAGCACCATTCTCAAGTCCAATCAGACCTCTCGGTCCATCCTCCTTCCCGTTACTGTCAAGGACCTCAACCAGGTGCGTGTTGATATTTGCTGCACGTGTTCAAGTCACTGTGTTGTGATTACTGGTTATATTACACGGGTGTGGTTACTCTATCATGCATGTTCTGTAATGTTCCATTGTTGTGCTTACTGACCATAAGGCCGTATGTTACATGATGGAAGGAAAAATGGAGAAATCCAGAAGTGAGGTCAGGTAGGTAAGGCATAGACTTCTAGCCTGACCTCAGTGATTATGGCTCTCCTTTTTGACTTGTTTGCTACTTGATAATGGTCCAAATTGGATTAGTCGAGGACTGGGCTAAGACTTAAAAGTAATGGCTGCAGGATGAAAATTTATTTTGTACATAAACATGTTGCTTGCTTCTTCATCTATTATCATAAATAAAACTTGAGAAATTCGACTTCAAGCTGAGTGTTTATTCTAAAATTACTTTTATCCAATTTCCAATACAGATCAAGCACTGATGTGCCGTATCTTGACAATGTTATATAAACAAGTTATTATTATCAAAACGAAACAACTCACCAGGGTCATACAGCTATATAAACAAATATTGTGTACGTCAGGTACGGACCATCAAGATCATCAGCACTGGCGGAAATGGCGGTGTGGGCGGACGTGGTGTCCGCACTGTGGTGTCCACTGTGCGGACCCCCAGCACTACCACCACTCTCAACAACCAGTCCATCCGCAATGCTCTTCTGGGTGCCGTCAGGAGCCAGGAGACCAAGTCACTGCTCAAGGGCGGTGCCTCGACCGTGCTGAGCACAGCTAGGAGTACAACTGCCATTTCCAGCACTCACTCGTCGCCCACACGTATTAAAGTGGAACCTCAGGAAGATGATGACGACGATGACGACGATGATCAGCCACACACGGCGTTTCAACAGTTGACGCTGTCTGGTAAGTACCTGTTTACTCACACCCATGTACATGTTCTTCTGTTTCCAGTGAGAGGGTAAGTACGTACAAAAAGGCACTTCCCCACACACTTGTATACTTGAGCTTTGTGTGTGTGTGTGTGTGTGTGTGTGTGTGTGTGTGTGTGTGTGTGTGTGTGTGTGTGTGTGTGTGTGTGTGTGTGTGTGTGTGTGTTCAGCTTGAATACTGAATTGGCTTATTAGTCTTAGCGCTCAGAATTTTTTCATTTTTTCATTTCTTCTTACACTTAGTATTAAAGTTACTAGATTTACTGGTAATATTGGTTTCCTCCTCGAGACTTGGCCTTAAAGGTCAAAACTAAAAAGAAATCTTAAGTGAGGTGTGGGAAGAGGTCAGGTAGGTGTGTCATGACTAATTCAGGTGACATTGTCCAGGCAGGTTGACCTATGATCAAGGTCACACCAGCCATTCAGGGAGGTGCTACCGATCTGAATGTGAAACAGAAGTATGTCAAACGTTTTGCACTCTAGCTAGTTGAGCAGGGGTGTAAAGAAACTTGCCCATGTGTTTCTCAGTGGTAGGCAGTGAAACTCGAAACCTTGCGATTGTGAGTAGCATGCTTTAACTAGTGGGCATCCTTGCTCCTTGCTGGATTCCCTTCAAGTCGGGTGCCTCGAGGTTGCTAAAGATCTCTTGATCCAAGAAACAGGAGCTACTATCCTAGGATGAAACCTTATCACATCTCATTACCCAGGCGCTGTATAGCCCTTACGAATTTAGAGCTAGCTCACTAATAAAATAATCCACGGTGGATTGACTTTCCAAGAAGCAATCGCTGGATGGGAGGCGTAGTTATGTCATGGGGAAACGCCAAACCCGTAAGGATTATTGGGTACCCGAGACATAGGAAGTAATCAGGTTTAAGAGGACGGTAGCTCCAGTTCCTTGAATCAAGAGACCTTTAGCATCAAGGTACACCCCTCTTCTCTTAAAAGGAGTAGTACTTGTTATTCCTCTTCGCTTCTTGTTGCCTCAATTTAGTCGCCGTGATGGCTGTAACTGTCTATTAGTCTTGTCTTTGTCTTGACGTTGTTTCGTATTCAGACGTGTGTTTTTCTTTTTATACGTTCATGATTGTGTAGGGATGTCTTTCGTCTAGAGTTTTTGATCTGGAGTTTAGTGTTGTGTTTGGGTTGACTGGTGGGAGTGTAAACACTAGCCGAGCATTGTAAAGGTCAGTGCTTCTTTGGGATGGTTATTCACCTCCCCTCCCCCCCTCCATCTCCAGATAATACTTTAACAGATGAGAATATTTATTATACGACGTTCCCCCCCCCCCCCGAATGGTGCTTAATAAATTATATGATGAAACACTATTTGTCCCTTCATTTAAGTGTCTTTTTCGATTACTACTCTTCAGTCAACACCCTCGTCTACCAACTTCCCGGCGTACCCCAGTTACTCTTCCCCCCCCCCCGTCCTTACTACTACCACTACCAGCATTACCTCTGCTACTGCTACTCCACTTCTTCCTCTCTCTGTCCCGTCCCTGCCACACTTTTCTGTATATATACTGGCTTCCTGACCATCCTGTGTCATCGTGACTTGCAACTGGTCCAAGTCTTACCGAAACGTCTCTCTTGTGCGAGTTTTGTGTATTGTAACCTTGTTCCCTCTCACCTTTATTTCTAGATGCCCAATCATTGACCCTTCGCTGCTAAATAGTGTCTCAAAGGCCGAGATATACACACAATTTATTCCAACTGCTTTTGTTTTTTTCGTTTTAGTGCCTAGTGCAATGGTCTTTTGTATATTCATAAGTTCTTGTATATTTCTTAAACTATGACTTTTATAAACCCTGGGTAAATTGTTTTGGTATCGCTTTCCCTTGTTACTTTCACTTGTTATAGTAGCTCTCGAGTTTTCTCATGTTGCTTCTTGAATCTGTTATTCTAGTCCTTTCATTCTTCTGCATCAGCAAGAGGTATATACATTTGAAGTTAAGCGGAGTATTGGTAAAAGGTCATCGGGGTCACTGCTTCCACAGACTCCTTATTGGTCTGCCTTCGTCCACCTTATTCACCCTCACCGGTAGCTTCACCTTTACTCTTTCTCCCCTCCCCCTTACCCATCCTATCCCCTCCTCTTCCCCCCCCCTCTCTCTCTTTTTACACATGGTTTGACAAGGTTAGGTTAAGGATCCCTGGCTTTATTGACAAGCTATTTACAGGTTAAGGATTCCTATCTTTATTGACAAGCTAAGAGCTGTTACCTTCATCAGCTCATCTGAAAACATTTTTGTTATGAAACATACAAATAGGGAACAGGATGAAGTTGGAGCCATCTGTGGGCCAGCATTTTCATTTGATCAACTGACTTTATCTTGTTGACATCATAATGCTGTACGAATGTGTTCCAAACTCGAGTCATCCTGGGGATCAATGATCTCAAATGAAGTGACGTTCTGGAGAAGGGTACAGCCAGTGAAGTTGCTGCTATCTGCCTCTCTCTCTCTCTCTCTCTCTCTCTCTCTCTCTCTCTCTCTCTCTCTCTCTCTCTCTCTCTCTCTCTCTCTCTCTCTCTCTCTCTCTCAATTCAAGATCGCTAATGCAGTGACGTCTTTGAGAAATACAACGCAGTTGCTGGAGTCTGTCCATTTTGTCTTCTGGGTGTCCATGAGGTTGAGCCAAGTAAGCTTGAGAACATAGCTCCTTAGGAAATTGATCACGGCGTTGTTAAGGTCGGGCTCGTAATCCTGACAACCGTTGATGATCCAGAGAAGCTCTGTGAAATATATACTGAGGGATAGTATAACTAGGATGAGTATAAGTAACAGATCATTGTCGTCACGCCTGTCTATGAAAATACCTCTGGTGGGTTGACAGGTCTTGCCAGGCCGGGGTCCAGTTTCAAGGTGACTCGCCTTCTGCACTCCTCTTATTTGGTAGGAAATCACGTTATTTTATTCATGGGAAGCGCTAAACCCGTTGAAGAATGGAAGGTAATCAGGTTCGATCCTGTTTGATAGCTTTATGTGGGTTGGACAATATATGAGTGGTTGTGAGATGAACCTGCCTAACTTGGGTTAATAGCCTGCTGCATTCTTCCTTCATTCTTTTTTTTTTTAAGGAAGGGGGCGGGTAGCCCTAATTTTTTGTGGCTAGAGACAAGGGCAAACACTAAGGACATTTTATTATACATAACCCGCACATAGGAGAAACCTATGACGACGTTTCGCTCCGACTTATACCATTAACTAGTCACATTTTATTACGGAAACATTCGCTCTTGGGACCTTTTTCACTCCATATCATAATAAAATGTCTATAAGCATTTGCTCATGTGTCTTGAACCGCAACTTGTTGCTATTATATACCAGGTTTTCTCCAATTCCTCGGAAAAGGAGCCCTTCACTTGCTTCAAGATTCCCTAGGAAAGGAAGTGGTGGTGGGGGAAGCAGTCATCCAAGGACATGGGGTATTTTATTTCTCAAATCTTATCGTGACGCGTTTCATGATGGCCCCCGACAACATTGACACAGTTCGTATAGCAAGCCACGCAGGTAGACACTATTCTTGGCCAAAAAAAAAAAAAACTGTCAGTAATGTAAGATTCTTGACAGCTGATTTTTATGGTTATATCTCTGGCAAGATAGTGATGGAGTGATTGATGATGAAAGTATTTCTTCGTTTTCGGGTCACCTTGCCTCGGTGGGAAACGGCCTATGTGTTAATAAAACATAATCTTCAGTTGATTTTTTCCATTTACATCTTGTCAGTTTTAATGTGACTTGTCTTCATGATTTGAAATTCGTGTCGATTTTGACCAAGAACCGCCAGCTATTGGAGCCCACTCTTCCTGATATCTATAAGGGCTCTTAATCCAAGGAATTTGAGCTACACTCGTCTTTCACCGTTTTGTTTCCTTCTCAGTAAGAGATGGGTCAGTGTGGGAATTTCCTCTGTTTACCCACATGCTGTGGAAATACCTTTTTTGAATAAAGAAAAACTGCTGATGCCTCATCCAAGCCTCGTGTTAAGCATCAGCTGCATCAAGGCAGTGGTAGCCAACCCGAGGCTTGTCGCGTATACTATACTGTCGATGAAAAGTGCATGGCATGAGTGGGTATATGACAGATATGTAAAAGTGGACAGGTGTAAAGAAGATGTAATTAGTGCTGAAGATATCTGAATAACGCAGAACTTAAAACAGAAGAGATAAGTTCATAATTTAGAATTTAAAGAGAATATAAGAAAATATTGGTTTGTTAGTTGGAGATGAGTAAAACAAAAAAGCTCGTGATATAATTAAAACGAGTGATTTATGAAGAGCTTTAAGAGTGAAGAATAAAGTCGCAGTGCCGTGGCTGGAACAATTCGCAAAAACCAATACCTAGGAGGGCTGCCTAGCATGAGCAGCAAATTTATTGCAGTGCTCAGACCCTTGGGTTTTTTGAATTCTTATTGGTCAGTATCAAACCCATTCCCACAATTTTACCAAGTGTATGAAAATGCTTGAAGAAATGATGTACGCCTCTGAGTGACCCGCGCTGCCAGAGGTAAGTAACCCTTGTTGTGTTAATGGTATACGATACTGACAGGTTGATGAATGAGACATTGTGCAACACCTGGATGAAGGACTGATGACTCCTTCAAGGCTGAGGGCCTGATTACCTCATCTCCCACTGTCTCCATTATGTAATCGCTGTATCGATTTGAAAAATCACAAGCACTCCTAACATCGTCATAATAAACATATCCAGCTGTTGGTGAACGAGGCGCTTGTGCAGCGCTTGGGTATTTTTATTTTGGAAAAGTTTCGCCATCCAGTGGCTTCATCAGTCCATTGCAGACAAAAATTGTGGAAAATGAAACGTTTAAGGTGACCAGTCTCTCCGCCTGGAGATGTTTAACCAGTTCATCAGTGTTGATATAACTGTAGTTATATTAACACTGATGAACTGAACACATTGTCTCCATGCTGAGAGGGACTGATACCTCAAACATCTCATATTCCACCGT